TTCAGGAAAGCCTCATATTTAATGGGAAAATCTATGGTTTCCAGTTAAGATTTGACCTTAAACCAATCCATTGACAAAACAACGATAAGTTGATGTGAATCAGATGCCCATCATCTTCGGATTCCCATCTTGGGGTGGATGAATCGGATGACCGTCCGTGGACCCCAACAAAAAACATGTAAGGTCTAACCATGGCATATGAGGTTGTTTTACGACCAGGCTAAGTATATACCCAGAGGATCCATGTATGGAATATTTACCTACATTGACCCCTAAAGAATTTAAAATAATCCCAATGTAGGTAAATATTCCATACATGGATCCTATGGGATAGGATTTATCATGATGATTACGTAGAATTGCAGTTGGATGTTCCGCGGAATCTAATTTCAGTGGTGATACTTTAATACCCTCTGGTAAACATTCACAGTTTGCTATGGTATAGATGGCCCAGTCGAAATAGTTGAGTTTTCCCATTAAACATGGTGACTTTCCATATATATCACCATTTTCCCATGATTTTCCCATGGTTTTCCCATTCAACTTGGTGGATCTTTCCATCGTTTTATGTTAAGGTTGACCAGGCCGGGTTGGTTTGGTGTCTTGACCCATCCAACATGATTGGGTGATTGTCATCCATGAAGACATTGGTAATGGATGACAGTTTGCGAACTGGAAAGAGCCACCATGCTATTAACCAACAAAAATGGTGGTTTACCCTCTGGTAAACGTTTACATAACTATGGAAAATCACCATGTTTTGTTTTTTGTTAATAGGTAAACCATCTACTTCTATGGGCAATGTTCCACCTATAAATGGACCATTTTTCCAACATAGCGAACTAGAAAACCACCATGCGAAATTAATAGGTAAACAATCTATTTCTATGGGCCATCTATACCATAGCAATCTGTGAATGTTTACCAGAGGGTAATCATCCACGAGCCGTTGATGTTGGATAAACCATTTCGACCCATCCCCTGACATTAAGCATCCTACGGTTCCAAATATGTGGTTTCACGGTTTTCTGGGGGGTGTTTAATATCAGGAAGAAGGGATTAGCACAAGGTGCTGCCCCCCAAACGTTAACTAAATCGAATACTATAGATATATCAGCCCATAATTCTATTTGGTATATGACTTAACTATAACTAAATCTAAGCTATATATCTATAAATTGGTTTAGATTCACCCCATGAAAACTATTTAACAAATTATCACCAACAAAAACCAGAGTGAAATTGAAGTTACAAACCAACTTAGCTATCATAAATCATCTATAAATCCCAGAAAAAAACACATGTTTCTATGGTTCTTGGGGTTCTGTGGCCCCCAACTGAACGCGATTCCGAACGGGGGCACCACCTTGTGCATTCAGCCGTCGCCGTGAGGGTCATTGCCTGGCCTGGCCGAGAGTGAGGAGGCACTTGCGTTCGGCGAAACAGAGGAGTCTGACGTGGATGTGGATGACTGGATGGTACTGAAAAAGATATACTGTGGGATTTTTACATAGAAAAGATGTGGAAAAACCATAGGTTTTGTCTAGAAACATCATCTATACATGTTCGATTTGGTAGCTTAAAGAATCTTAAAGATATACAATTACATTGGTACAAACAAATGAGCTTACCCATTGGTTTTATCCACTCAAGACGTTGGATTTGAGCATTGAAACTTGGAGATTTAGACCCCCAAATTATCACAGAGGTTTGACCAGCAATCATAGGGGTGTGACAACCAGTCAACTGTCAAGCATGCACACAATGTAAGGCCCCTCAGTTTTGTTTGTCAGTTTATGAACCCATCAGCAATTATTATCCACCATAAAACTAACAGGTAAGCAAGTTACAGGCTAACTTAGCTATTATAAATCAGCTTTAAATCCCATGAAATCCCAATTTTTACCCCTTAGACACCAGAAAGCCAAGAAATGTGCGTCAGCTTAGCGATTTCGTCAACCGGGGGCCTCACCCTACGTATCTTCACCTTGGTGGAGGAGTACGTCACGAACTTCGCTAAGGGAACTGCAAGCGAGTGGGTCGATTTCGACTTGTGCCCGAGCCTTTGATTTGCAATGTTTTTCTAGGAAATCTCGAGGGCACTTGGAAAACACACACAAAACGATGAGTTTTTAGCCCACTAGCAAAAAAATCGGATTGAACCAACTTTTTTTAGCTCCAATGTAATGACTAACACACAAATATACTCCATCGAGATAATGGGAATCATCCATATGGATTTTATTGGTATATATATATGGATGATTAATGGATAATTGTTAACATTATGTCATGGATGATTATGGTATCTTCAAATAATTATATAATCTGGTTGGTGGTTTGGAACATGTTTTATGACTTTCCATTCAGTGGGAATGTCATGTCATTCCAACTCACGAAGTCCATCATTTTTTCAGAGGGGTAGGTAGCCCCCACCAACCAGATTATTAACCATCATTAACCATATAATAACCATATAATAACCATTAATATTAATAGTATATTACCAACCAATGGTAAGTTAATATATTACCAATCGAGGCTTGATTCAGGAGTTATCAACCCTTAAGGTGTTTGACGCCTATGCTTCAGACAGTTCTCCCGAGTAGGTCACTCGTGCCCCTGGATCTTCACCAAAGATGATGGTGAATATAGCGGGGGAATCATCCCGAGATCTGTGAACTGCTCATGTTTGTGAACGATATATCATTTGAGCAAGGTTCAAAATACTGGTTGGTTAATGATTACATTGGATCAGTTGGGGGATGATATTATACAACGAAGGAATATGTATATATATATATATATACATGATACATATTGAGAAATATCACAATCCAAAGAGTCTCAAGGGGCGACAAAGGTTTTTGAACACCGCTCATTTGCCTGGCACCTGGTTATCATTCTTCATGTTACTTGGTCAGGGACCAACTGCGCCCCTGCTTTGGTACCCTGATGAAAGGCATTTCACTGATTTCAGCTGGGATTTACTTGTGCCCCATAGTCGGCTAAGTTTTTTTTTCTGGGTTAAGTACAATGTATGATGATTACAACAATCTGGTGAGATGTTTTTCACATAAGTCGACAAACATAGAGGGCACCATCTTGTATACCATCTGGTTATTTAACATAGCCATGGAAAGATCCACCATTTTTTAATAGGTAAACCATCTATAAATGGGCCATCTATACCATGGCTATGTTAGTCATAACCAGAGGGTAATTCAGTCAGATGTAGCATTTTTTGTGCCTTGGTTAGACGTTTCGGGGTGGAGGGGGCAAAATTTAGATCCACTCTCATTTTTCGATTGCGCACTCCATTTAGCATTGAAAATGGTCAATTTTTCATCCCGTAGGTAAATGAAGTATATGCCATGTGAAACCATGTGATGTGGATAATTAACACAATTTCATAAACCATCATCCCCAAACCACCATAAATATCCATAAATATTTAGGTGGTATGGTTACCATTCTCAGTAATGGGTGGTTTATGACATGGGTCCCGTAGCACCCCGTCTCTGGTGAAGGCTGGGGGACTGGTTTCTCATTCCATTGCCCTATCGTAATTTTGAGGATAGCAATGATAGCAATGTAAAATCCAACAGAAGCTATAGATCATTTTCTCATTAACACACTCATGGATTTTTATTTATAGATTACCCTATGGTAAACTAACATAACTATGGAAAATCACCATTTTTAATGGTTAAATCTACTATAAATGGCAATTTTCTATAGCAAACTGTTAGTTTACCAGAGGGTATGTTCCCATTGAAGCCATCAATGATCTAAGGGTACATTTTTCATTGCCACCTTACCGAAGGGTACCCAATTTCGATCCAAGGAAAACCACGACAACATGGGCCACATGGTGATGCTGCCTTGAAACTCGACAACTCGACTCGATGAAGGTTGAAGCCTGGACAAGAAGCATCTGACGGTCACGAGTGATCTCCAGAGATTGTTGTAGAATTTTAGTGAGATGTGAGAGGTTACATAATATTACAGATGTCTGGTTGGTTGGTGGATTGAATTATTTTGATTTTTGTTCCATATAATTATGTTCCAATCAGGTATGATCATTCCATATAATTCCCATTGGCGAGCATAGTCTTCAGAGGGTTAGCTCAACCGCCAACTAGACCTAGCCAATGATTAAGAGTCAGTAACCATAGTTGTAACTAACTAACCCATTTGTATCACCTCCACGGGTAGTTTAATCCTTTGGTCTTTTGCTATGAATGGAACATATAGTCATAACCAAAAAAAAAACATAAAATCTTGGACTACATTGGACTACGAAAGATTGACCATGGTATTCTGCAGAAAGCCAAAGAAAAGGGGACTTACAAATCAGGTTTGTCAATCAGTTCGGATTGTTCATCAGGCTCGTCAGGGGGTAGAACAGGGTCTCCAGCATCGAAATGTACCTGGTGTCACCATGGCAGATGAAAAAAGGGGTGCCATACACGGTCCACCGTGGTGGTTTCTGCATGCTTGGTGACAGAATTTGTTGATGGAAACTGGAAACTGGATCACAAAAGAACCTAAAACTAATTACTGTAGATTCTTCTGAATTCATGGAAGATAAGCCAACAGTTTCCGTTGCTAAGAAAAGATGAATCAGGTTGCCCAGTTGCAGTACTAAGTCTGATGAATCATGCGGGTAGCAAATTCAGGGACTTGATATTGGATTGAAGGGCTTGGTCTAAAATCCTTTCCAGTCAGGGAGATGACTCACAGGAAAGAATGTCCAAAATGTGGGGCTCCCAACATTTTCCCCTAGTGTAAACCAACATTAGATGTGGAAAACCCATGGTTTCTCTACAGGAAAACGATCTATCAAGTGGTGGGTTTAGCCAGGTTTATCTGTATGTATTTCTCTCAAACTCCCACATGGGGCGTCCCGGTATCCTTTTTTGAATGGGATTCACCATTGAAAATCTGCCAGTGGCACCAGCCCAAACGATGATTTCTCAAAGCCGATCTCCGCTGCCATGTCAGCTCGTGTGGGCAATCCCTGCGAGCGCGCGTCAAACGGTGAAGCAATGAAGTGGGTAGCGCTGCCCGGCAGCCAAGTTTACCTGGGAGATATGACGGTGTGATTTTTTGGGGTTCAATGGCCGAATCTATCCCACAGAAACTTGATGTTTAAATGTGTTTGAATCATTGTGCCAAAACTAAAACTGTCATGTGACACAGACCATACAATCGTACAATCGTGGATGTATCTTGATGTTGTTGCCCGGATATATTGAGTTATTCAGAAGAGAAACACACGTCAAGTCAATTGAACAGAATACGGGATCATCCCCGTGAAGTTCCCTGGTGACATCCCCCAACATTTCATAGCTAGATGAAGTCTTGACGTTTTTGCTATGGAATCATCACCATAACCAAAGATGCCAGTTTTTTTTTTGTGATTTCTCGGATTTTTCCCAGGTCTTTTGGGATTCGTCCCCATGTTCTGGATGATTTGTCTTTACAATAAGCGAACTATGAACTCGTTCGTTATATCTACCATTTTTACCATAGACTTCAGCCACTTGTAAGGCGTTTCTGAACGCCTTTGCTCGACTGGGGGCCCCATCCTGTACTAAAAGTACCCTCTGGTAACTTAACATAGCTATTGAAAATCACCATTTATTTCGTGAATTTTCCCATGAAACATGGTGGATCTTTCCAGTTCGCTATGTTAGTTTACCAGAGGGGCCCCATCCTGTAGGTATATCAATAACATTCCCAATCTCATGGGTGTATAATGGCATTAAATCCCATCATCAATCCATCATCAATATCTCATCATTGGTATGATCCGTATATCAATGGTACCTATCATCCATGGTGTTCCTATCATCCTCGGGTGGATCCCGTACGACGGGGCCCGTCGAGGTTTCTGCTGCCCGTGAGCGTCACTGCTGTCGTTCGGATGCCCGGGATGTCTTTTGGTGCTGTCGTGAGCAAATTTGGTTGGGGCCCCCGTTTAAGCCATAGGAAAATATGGGAAAACCATGGGAAAACCATAGGAAAATGGCGATTTAAGCCACCAAAATGGTGGGTTGAATGGGATTTATATAGCTGATTGATGATAGCTAAGTTGGTGAACATAACTCCAATAACTCTGGTTTATGAGACGCAAATAACTAATGGTTCATGGATGTTGCTGGGGTTTATAAACCAACTTAGCTATCTAGGGGACCCCACATTGTAGGTATTATGCATAGCTCATGCGCTTTATAAACGAACTGTAGTAACTTACCTGGGGCACCACCTAACGTACTTTGGCTTGGTGAATGGACAAATTGAAGTTGCAGCACATCCCTGAGTCTGGTGTATGAGAACTGGCGGTGGGATTTGACCAAACCCATAAGTGAGCAGTGTTCAAAACCCTTTGCCCTCGCCTTTTTACTGGTTGGTTACCCAGGGGTAAACTAACATAGCTATGGAAAATCATTATTTTTAATGGGTAAATCCACTATTTCTATTGCCATTTTCAATAGCTATGTAATATGATTCCCACAATTGAATAGTATAAAGATTAGCAATCAACAGGGTTTGTGAGCACTGCTCAATTGTTGATAGTTGTGTTTTTTTAGAAGCAACATAGGCAACCAAACAAGAGGTAAGCCGTTTGGTTTGTATGTAGGTCAACCGAGGATTGTAATGGATATATCTACAGTTAGATTGGTGAATATACATAAACCAATTTGTAACTTGGAGGCCCCCTCTAGCGTTTTTTTTGCCACCAGGGACCAAGTTTCCATATGCAATGCTGAGATCTTTTCTGAGGAAATTGTAAGCTGCAGTATAAAGTTTTATTTCTGGTTGGTGGTTTGGAACATTTTTTCATGATATATGGGATAATCCTTCCCATTGACTTTTATATTTTTCAAGATGGTTAAAACCACCAACCATATATAGAGATATAGATTTTATATGGGATAATCATGATATATCCAACTAGTTAATGGAATTATAAGACATATATCATTGATTATCCCATATAAAATCATTTATCATTTAAAACTAGTTAAACATATGAATGTTAATAAACTAGACATTTATCATTTCATTTCAAGATCCTCCCGGGGTTTCGGTGCGAGTTTCCAGCCGTTAATTTTCAGCGCTGCAGGTCTTGCAGTCCGTGTCCGAGTCCGTGTCCGATGAGGCAGCCTCGAAGATTCGCGCGGCGGGGATGGAAATCAAGGGGGGTCACTTGCCACCGACCATGTGGATATTATTTATAGTCAACATATCATGGGAATGACAGCTTCGGCAGCAGCGGTAGCCTTTTTTGGAGCAGACCCAACACAGACTCCAAGCCACAAGCCACAATCGTTGATACAATATTTGATACAATGTGTGGCCCCCGTTTACGATAGCGTTCAGTTGGTGAATTTATCTCCAATAACTATGGTTTATGATACTTATAACAAAGGGTTAATGGATGTTAATGGGGTTTATAAACCAATAAACATAACTGGGGCGGCACCACATTGTAGTCAACATATCATGGGAATGTTGGTGGTGACTGGAACCATGGATTTTTTTTTTTTGACTTTCCATAAAAAGTTGGGAATGATACATCATCCCAACTGACGAGTCGTCCATGATTTTTCAGAGGGGTAGGTCAACATGTTAAAACCACCAACATGAATCATGGGAATGTTGGATTTTTTGTGGGATAAAAAATTGACTTTCTTTGGGGTTTAGCCAGCCAATCCATGGGATATGATGAGATTTTTCAATGAGATTTTTGTTTATGGGATCTCATGGGCGTCTTGGGGAGAGAACCGACCATATGTGGGGATAACCAGACTTCTAACCATTAACGTAGTTGATGGATCTATTCATGGGATAACTGTATAGTGAATGGGATCAATATAGATGGGATATAAGTGTAGTTTATGTGCTGGGTAACCATTACCCTATGGTAAATAAACATAGACCCTGAAAATGACAATTTTTTAGTCGAAACTAATCTTCCAACCCCTATCTGCCAGGGTCTATGTTAATTTACCGGAGGGTATATCCCACATCTATTCATGGGATATCTACTAATTCAATAGATTGATGGGATCTTAAGGGGACTCCCCATGGATCTGAATGGAAGTTGATGGGATATCATTGTGATATAATTTAGCCACATAATGTGGTTGGAATGGGGGTATCCCAATAGCTGGATGGTTTATAATCGAAGATCCACATTGAGATATGGTTCTGAACATGGAGGGATTGACATTGACCTGCTGAGATGGATCCTATTTCTGGAAGATTTCTCATTGCTGGGTCAATTATAACGACCTCACTGTTCTCCCTCACTGGGAATCATGGTTAGGAAGGGAAATGATCTCCAAATGGCCGAACTATTCAGGTTAGTGAAATATTGTAATTTACCCAGATTAACGATATAGTGATTTCAACAATGTGAGGCCCCCAAGATAGCTAAGTTGGTTTATAACTCCAATTTCACTATGGTTTATGGTATTTATAACTATAGTTACTGGGGCGAATCTAAACCAACAAACATAACTGGGGGGCCTCACATTGTAACCATTAACGATATAGTGATTTCAAGAATTACAGTTATGGCCATGGCTATTAGTTATAACTGGTTATTTCTATGGGATTATACATTCTATAAATGGGGTTAGTTCAGTACAAACATAACTGGTATTTGGGGCCTTAACTGTAGTCACTGATGTGATTTCATAGTGTAATCGGCTATCGGCTGTTAAACAGGGGTTTTCAGCGGGGAAAACAATATAATATAATATAATTATATGGGTGAAAACCAGGAAGCTATAGTTATATAATTATATGGGAAAACGATAAAACCCTCGAATATCTGTTTTGCATCTGGGTGTGTCTGAAAATGTTGTGTACCCCATTGTACCCAATGGTTTTGCTGATCATTATCCCGTTTTTAAAAATGGCCATTTCATTGGGGGTATACCTCATTTTCAGACATAGAATTATATAATTCATTGGAATTGGGTGTACCAAGGCCCTGGTATCTACCCTCCTAGAAAATGTATCCCATAGAGATGCCCACGAAAAAAGAAAAAACGATCAGTTTCCCAGGGGAAACCCATGGTTTTGTTATGTGTTGTTCATATCTACATACTATAATCACTGGAAGCTTAGTAAACTGATTGGTGGTTTGGAACATTTGGATTATTTTCCATTTCATATATGGGATAATCCCAAACCCATTGACAAACTCATATTTTTCAGGATGGTTCAAACCACCAACCAGTAAATAATGAGAGGTACTTGTAGGTAATTTTTCATGGCTATGGATTCTCGGAATGAATTCATTGCATCGTTTGATTGGAGATGGCGCCAACAGGCCTTGGGTTTGTCAATGGGGTGCCCCCAAACTAACAAAAAACCATGGAAAATCACAATGTTTAATGGGTAAATCCACTATAAATGGTCCATTTTCAATAGCTATTTTGACATAACCAGAGGGTATGATCATCATTCTCCCGTGCGTTTCAATTTTAGGGATGTGCCAGTTTTGAATCAACCCACGTGCCTGGAACACATGTGCTAGAAATATGAGTCATATGAGGTAGGTTTACTGCCATGATGCCATGGTTCTTGTACTTCTTGGCCAATATCAATCGACACAACTGGCCTTTCAGCCCAATTGCAAACAGAACACCATGGTTCCTGATGCTGTTTTCCCACTAAAACCCAACCCCTGAAGAACCAAGCTATGGTTCACACATCATGGTTCGTACATCTATGACTATGGCTCCGACTTTGTCCTGTTGCTCTTCGTTGCCTCTGTGGCGGTACAGCTCTTGGAAGACTGCTTCCACAGGCAGCGGTAGCTGTAGATGGAGCAGACCCAACACAGACTCCAAGCCACAAGCCACAATCCTTGATACAATATTTGATACAATGTGGGCCCCCCGTTTACGATAGCGTTCAGTTGGTGAAGATATCTCCAGGAACATATAACTATGGTTTATGATACGCAAATAACATCAAATAACAAAGGGTTAATGGATGTTAATGGGGTTTTAATATACCAATAAACATAACTGGGGGGGCACCACATTGTAGATATTGGACAGTGCTTCCGTTCGGATGGGCCATGGGACTAGCAAACTGATGATCGTAAGTGCCTTAGATCGGCATGCACGAGCAGTTTACGAACTAACCCTGGCCCATTGATGGTTATCTAGGCAATGCTGCTGCAGAATGTTGAAACTTTCCAATCACTCCAATGTTCACTGGATTAAGGGAAAATTTACAGGAAACCCAAAAATAGTTCATGGGGAAAAGCATGGTTTCCTGTAGATTTTCACTTCAACCAATCCAGTGACATGTTGCATGTGTTGCCGCCAGAGGTAAAGGCGGCGCAAGCCCGAAGTGATCGTTTCTATACGGAGATTTCTGTGGCGCAGGACCATTGGATATACCATTGGCAAAAAAGGGGGGGTGTTTCTCCAAAATGAGGATGGCTTCTAGAAATGCTCGAAAGAAACGGAATGTAAGTTAATTACTATACGTACTCAGATAGTGATAAAGTGAACCTGTTCTACCTTTGTGTGAGTTACTGTATAGCCATACACTCTGATGTTAGTGATTTTGGGCTTCGAGGAATTTACAATACATAGTCTACTCAGTTTAACCCCAATGCCATTGTACACACCCAGCAAAGAAGCTGGCATGATGAATACCCTCTGGTTATGTCAAAATAGCTATTGAACATGGCAATTTACACAATAGCTTTTTTTAGTTGCCGGCCATCCCGGCCACGGCCCGGCCACGGCCACGGCCACAGCCACCCGGCCACCCGGCCACCCGGCCACCCGGCCACCCGGCCACCCGGCCACGACCACGGCCACCCGGCCACCCGGCCACGCGGCCACGCGGCCACGCGGCCACGGCCACGGCCACGGCCACGGCCACCCGACCACGGCCACACGACCACGGCCACACGGCCACATGGCCACATGGCCACACGGCCACACGGCCACACGGCCACACGGCCACACCCGGCCATCCGGCCACCCGCCAGCCGGCCACCTGTTTCCTGTGTTTTTGATGGAATTACTGTAATTGTTTTGAGCTTCTTAACTTTTTCGAACAACTTGCGACACGCTCCTGCATGGTGCCTGGTGCTATGCTCTTTTCTTTCCCAGGCAGCTTTGCAACATGCTCTTGATGCTATGCGCTGAACCTTTTCAAGCAACTTGCAACGCACTCTTCCTGCTACTCTTTGAACTTCTCAGGCGACTGGCAACACACTCTTGATCCCACACTTTCAACTTTCTCCTGCAACTTACAACACGCTCTTGGTGCTAACCCTTTCGGGCCCTCAATCCCAAATTTCTCAAGCAACTTGCAGGCTCTTGGTGCTACGCGCTTAACTATCTCAAGCAGCATGGCACACGCTCTTGATGCTACGCCCTCGATGTTCTCAAGCAACCACGCAACACGCTCTTGATGTTACTTGTCTCATGCGCTCAACCTTATGGTTGTGGTGGATTTTGACATGGAACACGTATAACCAGGTGTCACTGTTCTAAATCATGTTTGCAAGGAATTAACGTTCATGTTTGCGGCCAATAGCTATTTTACCCCCCAAAAAAAAGAACGCAAGTGAATGCACCTCCGAGATCTTCACTTTCAGCTGAATTTCCACGGTAATGCTACTGGTAGTGATGATGATGATGATGGTGGTGGTGATGATGGTGATGTCGATGAGAGATAATAATTATTCAGATGTTTCATTGGCTCTGCAGGGCACACAGTGCCAAAATTCTTTTTAGGTTTTCAGGGCCCAAGCAGTTTGAGCATCCAACAGTCACAAGCAGGTGTCAACTACCGTGACTATCTGCCCTTTTAATTTCTATTGATGATATTTACAAGTTTTCTGTGATATGACATTCTGATCGTTTCTTGCCACTTGTTTAAGGTGCCTGGCATCTGAGAGGCTCGCGACTGTTGTCATATTTTGCCTTCTACTATGAAAATAACATTGTGTGTGGGGGGTGGGGTGGGGTGCAGGGGGTGGGGTGGTATAATAACGTCACATACATTTCCACACATATGTGATGCAACATATCTGTACGCTCTCTTGCATTTCATTCACATCCACACTTACGTCTGCTACGCTTCTGTAAACTCTTTGGCACTTCCACACACACGCGTCATGCTACGCTGTAGGTTCTTTTGCGCTTCCACACATGCGTCATGCTACGCTGTAGGTACTTTTGCACTTCTACACATGCGCCATGCTACGCTGTAGGTTCTTTTCCACGTCCACACATACGTCATGCTACGCTGTAGATTCTCTTGCACTTCCACACATACGTCATGCTACGCTGTAGGTACTCTTGCACTTCCATACATGTGTCATGCTACGCTGCTGTAGATTCTCTTGCACTTCCACACATACCTCATGCTACGCTGTAGGTGCTCTTGCACTTCCACACATGTGTCATGTTACGCTGTAGGTCCTCTTGCACTTCTTGCACTTCCGCACATGTGTCATGCTACTACGCTGCTGTAGATTCTCTTGCGCTTCCACACATACCTCATGCTACGCTATAGGTACTCTTGCACTTCCACACAGGTGTCATGTTACGCTGCTGGAGGCTCTCTTGCGCTTCCACACATACGTCATGCTACGCTGTAGGTTCTCTTGCACATCTACACATGCGTCATGCTACGCTGTAGGTTCTTTTCCACTTCCACACGTCATGCTACGCTGTAGGTAGTCTTGCACTTCCATACATGTGTCATGCTACGCTGCTGTAGATTCTCTTGCACTTCCACACATACCTCATGCTACGCTGTAGGTAGTCTTGCACCATACATGTGTCATGCTACGCTGCTGTAGATTCTCTTGCACTTCCACACATGTGTAATGCTACTACGCTGCTGTAGATTCTTTTGCACTTCCACACATACCTCATGCTACGCTGTAGGTACTCTTGCACTTCCACACATACCTCATGCTACGCTGTAGGTACTCTTGCACTTCCACACATGTGTCATGCTACGCTGTGGGTACTCTTGCGCTTCTACACATGCGTCATGCTACGCTGCTGTAGGTTTTTTTGTACTTCCACACATGTGTCAGGCTACGCTGTAGGTACTCTTGCACTTCTACACATGCGTCATGCTACGCTGTAGGTTCTGTTGCACTTCCACACATACGTCATGCTACGCTGTAGGTACTCTTGCACTTCCACACATACGTCATGCTACGCTGTAGGTACTCTTGCACTTCTACACATGCGTCATTCTACGCTGCTGTATGTTCTCACCGTATGATGATGATGGTGGTGATGATGATGATGATGATGATGATGTTCATATTGCTGATGATACTAAAGTTTCGTTTTTGAGCCTTTTCAATTCCCCCGTAGAAAATGTTTGAAAAGTGACGACAATCACGGGCCTCTCAGATGCCCGGCACCTTGTTTAACAAGTTGTTTCCTATTCCATGATGCATCTCGTGTCAAGTGCTTGTCTTCGCCGTCATTTGCTGGTGTAACCCTTTTGTTCACTTCATCCATCTCCTCCTCCCGTGAAAGAAATGCTACTGCTGCTGGCTTCCTGTGGCTATTCCATGTGATAATGAAGGCGATTGTCAAATAGAGCTTTGACAAAAGAGGCAAGAACTGAACTGCTGAACTGCATGGAGTGATCGTGTTGTCTTAAAGGGGAATGAGTTTATACATGTGGGTAGGAATTAGCACACAAATCGATGTTTCTGGTTGAGACATATATGGTAAATTTGTTCAAGCAATCTTACGCCACATACGGGACAGCAAAACGCTGCTTGATATTGTTTGAAATCAGCAGTAAGCAAATTACAATCATCTTCTAAAAACGCTCCTCCCCCCCACCGCCACCCACCCACAAATCCCGGCCAACCGGCCAACCGGCCATCCGGCCATCCGGCCACGGCCACGGCCACCCGGCCACACCCGCCCACCCGCCCACCTGCCCACCCAGCCAGGCGGCCATCCGGCCACCCGGCCATCCGGCCATCCGGCCACCCGGCCATCCGGCCACCCGGCCATCCGCCCCATCGCCCCGGCCACAGCCACGGCCACCCGGCCACGGCCACCCGGCCACCCGGCCACCCGGCCACGGCCACGGCCACCCGGCCACCAGGCCACGGCCACCCGCGTGGCCGGCCGGCCAATTTATAGTGGATGTTCCCATTGAACATGGTGATTTTCCATAGCTATGTTAAATTACCAGAGGGTAGTCAAGTACATTCATAACATATTGATAAATTGCACTCGAGTGTTGGAAGTGTCAACCATTCTCGAATTGTTCAATGGACATGGAGCCATTGACGGCTGGATTGCTAGTAGCAGAGACAATAGTTCAGTGGTGCATTGCCAAATATATGATGGTTTCATGTTGGTATCATGAAGCTCAGATCTGAGATTGTTAGTAAAATGATCGTTAGTAAAATCAACTACCAAGTTTGTTTGTGCAATCAATCTTTTGACTATCCTTTAATAACTATTGATAACTTTTCACAACTATTAATGATATTAATAATTAATTAACAATATCCCCCCAACGATGTTTTCTGTTCCACTGCAGTCTTTGGAAATTTCAATCCCAAAGTTGTTTGATTCCACAAGATGGGACCAAGAGATACAGGCTGTTGACTCGCCCAGCTATATTACTATATGCGAGTATCATTGAGTAACTGGATAGAAAAATGTAATATAGGTATAGACCACACACCAATATATCTTAACACTATAACTATAGTATCCTGTTTGTATGCGTGGGAAAGATGTAATATCTATTGTTATACAAATATGAGTAATGGGCGGAGATATTGTAACAAAACTATTCAGTGTTACTTCGCGCCTTGGCTGAGGCTGAGCCTAGTCACCTCAAAGTCCCTGTATAAATCGTCTATGAATCCCTATGTTGATTGTTTTTTTGTTTTTTTTCACGGATGTTTCCATCGAAAAACGATGGTGAAATGCCAATGTTCCGTTCCATGTTTGATGGTGAAATCCCAATGTCCAATCATTTTTGACGGTTATACCATGTTATACCGTTATACCACACAAGATTCCACAATTCTTGATGCTTAGATGGCAAATTCCCAATGGTTTAGGAGTCGGAGTTGAAAGAAGTAGAGCAACTGGAGGTGCTTGGCTTGCTTGGCTTCGGCTGGAGGTCCTGAAAAAACATCTTAAGGTAGACCTTGTTTGTTAAGGAAACAGTCCCAAAATGGTGATTTTATATGGAATTAACCATTTAACACCCCAAAATTTTGTTTTAATGGATTTTACCATCATTTGATCAACACAAATTGGGGTTGATAGGCGATTTACGATAGGTAATTTGCTTTTAATTTGGACAAACCTTGTTTTTATTGCAGGCAAATGCAAGGTGGTTCCCCCAAAACTTATGTTTTTTGGTTATGTTCACCCATCCAGCTGTAGTCAGAATTGTCATAAACCCAACAGCTGACAACTAGATCTTAAAGCTTCTTAAAGCAATTTAGCCAACTATATGGTACCACCTTGTGAGGGGTTTGATAGCACCATGTGTACTTTCTGGTTTCTGTAGGAAGCATCCCCAATCGAAAGATCGGTGTTGTTTGGTGTATAGCTAATGGTCAAGTTTTAAAGTGTCGGATTTATCTGGTGGATATGAATCTG